GTGGGGCGCGGGGGGTCCCGGGGGTCAGGGGTCCCGCCGCCCCCGGTCCCCACCAGAGGCCCCCGGGCGTGGGTTCGGCAGCGGCGTCACGGTCCCGCCAGCGCGGGGACAGCCCCGCGGGCCCCCCGGGGCGGGCAGTGACCTCTGCGCGGGGACAGGACGCGGGGACAGCGGTGTGGGGACACGGCGGCCTGGTACCTCCCTGCCCGGGGCTCGGTGTGGCAGCACCGGCAGAGCTGGGGGGGGACGAGACCGACCTCCTCGGGGGGTCCCAGCGCTGCCCGGGACCCCCGGGGCAGCCCGGCCAAGGGACACCACCAGGATGGAACCCCCCCAGTGATGTGACAGGTGACAAGTGACAGGGGGAGAGGTGGGATCTGCCCCCCTGGGGCTCTACCTCTCCTTGTTGCCCCCCCGGAATGACCCCGGAGGGATGAGATGGGGCCAGAGGAGGAGGAGAAGCACCGGGGGGGGCACCGGGCAGTTGTCCCTGCTCCAACACCGGGATTAGGTGTCCCTGAGCTCGGGTTTCCCGGCCTTCCTCCTCCTCCAAGAGCCAGTCTGGGATCGGTGCTGGGACTGAACTCCCCGGGGGTGATTCCCATCCCGGGAGAGGCCTGGGCTGGTCAGGAAGGGACCTAGGAAGGGGTGGAAGGGGGCCAGGCCAGTTGGGAAGAGGCCTGGGAAGGGCTGGAAGGGGCCTGGGAAGGGCAGGAAGGGGCCTGGGAAGGGCTGGAAGGGGTCTGGGAAGGGCTGGAAGAGGCCTGGGAAGGGTGGGAAGGGGCCTGGGAAGGGCAGGAAGGGGCCTGGGAAGGGCGGGCAGGGCCCCACCACTGCGGTGGTCCCGTGGCTGCCCCCCCGGCCCCGTCCCTGCACCCCCCCTGTCCCCCCAGACACGCAGCCCTGTGCGGCCTCCGGCTGTCCCGCCTGGCCAGGCCGGGCCCCGCGCCCTGGGAGCCCCGTTCCCAGCCCAGCAGGACCTTCCTGAACCTCACCAACAAGCGCAAGGAGTACTCGGAGCGGCGAATCATCGGGTACGTGGGGGAGCCTGGGGGGGCTCCGGGCACGGCCCCCCCCGGCCCCAACACCCGCTGTGCCCCCCCAGGTACTCGATGCAGGAGATGTACGACGTGGTGGCCAACGTGGAGGACTACAAGAACTTCGTGCCCTGGTGCAAGAAGTCGGTGGTGGTGTCGCGGCGCTCGGGGCACATCAAGGCCCAGCTGGAGGTGGGGTTCCCGCCCGTGCTGGAGCGTTACACGTCCATCGTCACCCTGGTCCGGCCTCACCTGGTCAAGGTGAGGGCAGGACAAGCTCTTTGGGCGGCTCTTCTGCACGGCTGAGGCCCCTCCAGGGCTGAGCCCAGTTCTGGGTCCTCACGGCAAGAGAGACATTGAGGGGCTGGAGCTGGGAATGGAGCTGGGGAAGGGGCTGGAGAACTGAGGGGGCTGGGGGGGCTCAGGACAGGACAGGAGGGAACGGCCTCAAGCTGTGCCAGGGGAGGGTCAGGCTGGACATCAGGAGGAATTTCTGCATGGAAAGGATGGTCAGGCCTTGGCAGGGGCTGCCCAGGGAGGTTTGGAGTCCCCACCCCAAGGAAGGCCTGGCTGTGGCACTCAGTGCTCTGGGCCGGGGGACAAGGAGGGCATCGGGCACAGGTTGGACTCGATGATCTCAGAGGGCTTTCCCAACCTAATTAATTCCACAATTCCACGATCCCCATGCCCCTGCTCTCCCCCTTCCCAGGCTGTCTGCACCGACGGGCGCCTCTTCAACCACCTGGAGACCAACTGGCGCTTCAGCCCCGGCATCCCCGGCTACCCCCGCACCAGCACCGTGGACTTCTCGGTGAGACCCCCCCGGGGGCTGTGAGACCCCCCAAGGGAGGGCAGGGCAGACGTTCCCCCCCAGGGGCTCACCCGCTCTCCCCTCCCCAGATCTCCTTCGAGTTCCGCTCCCTGCTGCACTCCCAGCTGGCCACCGTGTTCTTCGACGAGGTGGTCAAGCAGATGGTGGCCGCCTTCGAGCGCCGCGCGGCCAAGAACTTCGGGCCCGAGACCCGCATCCCCCGCGAGCTCATGTTCCACGAGGTCCACCAGACGTGAGGGCGGCCGGGCCGGGCCCCCCCCGGACTGTGCCGGGCTGGGGCTCCCCTGCCCCGTGCCCACCCCCCAAATATTTATTCGAGTGCGTCTCCGCTGCCGTTGCCTCAGCGTCCCCCCCCTGGTCCCGGGGGGCTGCCGTGAGCCCCCCCGGCCCCAGGAGCTGCGTCCTGGCGCTGGACTCTCCCTGGTTTTGTAGCTGATTTGGGGTTTTAAGTTTCGTTTTTAGTTCTTGGGAGTTGTTTTTGGTTTTGTTTCGTTTTGGGGGTTTTTTATTTAACCCTTTTTTTTTTTGTTGTTGTTTTAACTCCTCGGCCGGGCTGGAGGGTCCCAGCGGGGACAGCTCCCGGTGCCTGGGCCGTGCCGGGACACAGGGAGGGAGGGAGGAAGGGTTTGCTGGGTGGGGGGGCCTGGCCAGATCCCACATGGAGCTGCTGGGACCCTCCACGTCCTCCCCAGCCCTCCCAGGGACAGAAGGGAAGGAGCTGGCACAGGGAGGAGCCCCCCGAGCCCCCCCGACGTCGCACAGTTTGCACAAGCCACCCGCACAGGGTGGGGGGGGGGCGGCTCAAGCCCCCCCCCCCCCCCGCCGCCCCCCACCCCCAGCACCCACCGCCGGGACTGGGACGGTCCCGGGATCGCCCCCAACGCAGCCCCCCCGGCCCCGCTCACCGATCCTCACCTGCGGTGGGGGCACAGGGAAGCCTCGGATCCCCCCCCGCCACAGAGCCCCCCCGGGGGGCTGAGGGGCTCCCTGAGCCCCCCCCGAGGCCGCCCTGCCCGAGGAAGGGCTTTTACAGGCCAATAAAGAGCATTTTCCAAGGGTGAGCAGCCTCCTGGTCCTCATTCAGCACGGGAGGGGGGAGCTGGGGAGGTGGGAGGGGGCTGCAGCTGGGACCCCCCACCCCAAACCAACCCAGTTCCTGCCGTCACCACTGAGGGGCCAAGGGCCACCCCCCGACCCCAGCGGGACCTCGGAGCACCCCCAGGAGGGGTGGGGGCACCGTCCCCTGACCCCCCTCCCCACGTCCTGCAGAGGGAGGGAGGTGAAAGGCTCCGGGTTTGTTAATAAAAACATTTATTTTGCATTTTGTTGTTGTTTGTACAGAAGTGCCCGAGAGCTGTGAGGGGGCTGGGGGGGGTCCCAGCTCTGGCTCCTGGGGGCTTCGGACAGGGAGGGGGGTCACACAAACACGGGGGCGCGGCCGGGGAGGAGTGTATCAAGTCCCTGTGGGGGGGCCTGGACACGAGGCTGGACTGAACCCTCTTGGGGGGGGGGGGGGCTGTGCCCCCCCACGGCCTCACCGGGACCACCCCCAGCCCAGCAGTGGGGGAGCCGGGGGGGCTCCCAGTGTGTGGGGAGTCGGGGGGCTCCCAGTGTGCGCAGTGAGTGCTGCTGGGGTGGGGTGGGGGCACAGGAGACCCCCCCTCACCTCACGGGGGTGGGGCAGGGGAGGGGGAGCAGCCGGGGGGGCTCCGCTGTGACCCCGAGGAGCCCCCGGCGGGTGCCCGGGGGGGGGTTCAGTGCCGAGGGCGTCCGGGCCGGGCCCGGCAGCGCAAATGTTCCCTGGGGAGCTCGAGCCGCGGCCTCTCCCCGTCCCTTCTTTACCCGGATTTGTAGCCCACGAGCTGCATCAGGCCCTTGGTGCTCATGGATTTGGGCCGCTCCAGGGGGAATCCCAGCGCCCGGCTCCAGATGAGCTGAGAGAGGACGCCCAGGGCTCGGGACACCCCGAACAGCACCGTGTAGTAATTCATCTCCTTCATCCCGTAGTACTGTGGGGGGACAGGGGAGTCAGGGCAGAGAGGGGGGAACCGGGAGCCCCCCACGTGCCCAGGACAGGGAACACTGAGAGATGGGACGGGCAGAGTGACAAACTGACAGGGAGAGGGACTCACGGCTCCCAGGACCCCCAGGCTCACCTGCAGTAGGACCCCACTGTGGGCATCCACGTTGGGCCAGGGGTTCTTGGCCTTGCCCTGCTCCAGCAGCACGTTGGGGACAATCTTGTAGAGCTGAGCCACGAGCTTGAACAGGGGGTCGTTGGGCAGGTGCTTGAGGGCGAATTCCCGCTGGCAGGTGTAACGAGGGTCCGTCTTCCGCAGCACCGCGTGTCCGTACCCCGGCACCACCTGCAGGGACGGGGGTCAGAGCCCGGCATCCGCCCCGCAGCACAGCCCCTGGACCCCCAGCGTGGCCCCCAGACCCTCGGCTCAGCACCCTGGCCCGGCCCCCGGCTCACCCTGCCCGAGTTGAGCGTGTTCCAGATGAAATCACGCAGCTTCTCATCTGACACCTCCTTGCCCAGCTCCTTCTGAAGGTCAGTCAGCCAGAGCAGCACCTCCTGCAGGAACGGCCCGAGTGAGGCCAGTGGGGCCCAGACAGATGGACAGCAAGAGGGGCAGAGGCACAGGGAGAGGGGCAGAGGCACAGGGAGAGGGACAGAGGCACAGGGAGAGGGACAGAGGCACAGGGAGAGGGGCCCACCTGGTTGGCGAGGCCGTGCAGGGGCCCGGCCAGCCCGTTCATGGCGGCGGCGAAGGCGAGGTACGGGTCGGACAAGGCGCTGCCGACCAGGTGACTGGTGTGGGCACTCACGTTCCCTCCCTCGTGGTCACTGCATGGGTGAGGGGGGGCATCAGGACTCCCCCATCCCCACCAAATACCCTCTGAGGCACTCTGGGCGGGTTCCCAGCCTCGCACAGCCCTACCCCAGTGGCCCCACGCTGCGTTCCCAGGGCCGCCCCCAGAGCGGCCCAGGCACGTCCCAGGAGCCGTTTCTGTCCCTGGCCCCGGGGCTGGGAGTGGGGCCAAGCTCCCCCCTGCTCCAGGTGCCACTGGTGGCTCCCTACCTGTGGATGGTGAGGTAGAGCCGCATGAGCTCGATGAACTGGGGGTCGGTGTAGCCCAGCATGTTGGTGAAGTTGTGGGACCAGTCGAGGTTGGGGTCGATGGCCCCGATGCCGCTGCCCTCCCGGTACAGGTTGCGGTAGATCTTGGCGGCGACGCACGGCAGCTTCGCAATCAGGTCCATGGCGTCCTCGTACACAAACTGGCGCCGGAGGGGTGAGAGGGGGCTGCCACCATCCCTCCCCAGCCCCCTGCCCCCAAACCTGCCCCCAAACCTGCCCCCAAAGCCGCCCCGCAGGGCCGGCGCCGGGGGCCCCCCCGTACCTCCCAGTACTTGGCGCGGTGGATGCCCTCGGCGTAGGCGCGGGCGAACTTGCTCTCGCTGTTGAGGGCGGTGACGGCCGCGCTCAGCTGGGACATGGGGTGCAGGTTGGTGGGGAAGTTGTCCAGCATGGTCACCACGTGGGAGGGCAGAGCGGCGCGCCGGGCCCACTCCTTGGACAGCCAGCTCACCTATGGAGGATGGGGGGGGTCACGGGGGCTCGGCCGAGGGGCCGGGGGCTGCCAGCCCCCCCCCCGCCAGCCCCCTTCTTACCTGCTCCTGGGTGGGGATGTCTCCCGTCACCAGCAGCCAGAAGAGCCCCTCGGGCAGCGGCTCCTCTCCCCCCGTGGCTTTGGGCAGCTTCTTCTGGCACTCGGGGATGCTGTACCCGCGGAAGCGGATGCCCTGCGGAGCCCGGCACGAGCGTCAGCCCGGCGAGGCCGGTGCCAGGGGTGGGACGGGGCGGGACGGGGTCCTACCTCGTCAGGATCCAGCACGGAGGTCTCGTAGATCAGTCCCTTCATGCCCCTCATCCCTCCATAAACCTGGAACGGGGAGCGAGGCCGCGGTGAGGGGCTGTGGCACAGCCCGGGGTCCCCCCAGGCCCCCCGGGACCCCCCACTCACCATGTCCACCGTGATCTGCCCGATGGCCGTGCTGCCGTGCTGCTGCCGGAAGCTCTTGATCTTCGCCTGCTCCTTGGGGATCATGGTGGCCAGGACATCTTTGAGGTTCTGGGGAGAAGGGAGTGGGCCGTGAGCTGGGGGCTGAGCACAGGAGAGGGGGTGACAGGAGAGGTGGGGGACAGGAGAGGCTTCACAGAGCGGGGTCCCCCCTTACCGTGGCAGCGCTGGCGTGGCGGGCGGCCAAGAGGACACACGGTGCATTCTGTGGAAGAGCAGACACAGAGACCCCCCCGTGTCAGCAGAGCAGAGCCCCCCGTGCCCCCCGGCTGCCCCGTTTTGGGGGGTGCAGCTGCACATGGAGCTCCCAGCCCCAGCTCTGTGACGGGAGCCCCGTGACCCCGGTGAGATCCTGGTGAGATCCCGGTGAGATCCCGGCTCCAGGGGCCGTGCCCGGCAGCTGGAGCCGCCTCCCTCGCCCACACGGATCAGGGCCGGGGTGAGGGATCAGTCAGGGCCGGGGTGAGGGATCAGGGCCGGGTGAGCCGGGGCAGCGCAGCCCCCCCCCCCACATTCCCATCACGCACAACGGCAGCGGGACCCGGACCCGGCACAGGGAATGCGGCTGCGTTTCCCTTCCTGGAGCCGAGCGCGGCAGCCCTGGCACACGCCAGCCCTGGCACAGCCCGAGCCCAAGCCCGGCCAGGCCGC